TCCAACTTTCAGACAATCTTCAGTAAGACTTGTATCCCAGAAGCATTGCCTTCAGTTGGCCCTGTGTTTCGGATATCCAACTTTCAGACAGTCAATCTTCAGTAAGACTTGTATCCCAGAAGCATTACCTTAAGTTGGCCCTGTGTTTCGGATATCTATTTTGAAGAAGTTCAGAAATTGCTCATTCAACTAAAGTCATACTTCAATTTCTGTGGGGGCAAGAAGCACGCAGTGCAGCTATGTTCGGCAGAGTTGAAGAAAAGAAACAGTAAAGCATTCAAAAATAAAGCAACTGAAAAAAAAAAAATTTTGAGCTACAAGTTCAATAATTCAGTATCGGCAGCCGCCCACAAGCGGAAAATAACAGCTGCCGAAATACGTACATAAGCAAAAAAATAAAACTGCTGTACGACAAGGCAAGCTGAAGCAAAAAAACAAGGCAAAAAACTCAGAAAGCGGCAAGTCTAAAGTTAAGCACATGATGAACCGCAAGATTCTGAAGACGACTGCCCGAGTTCCTATGCTTCAGCCGGGGGATCAGACTGATCAGCGTTGAGTCCCATGATGGCCTCAGCCCCAGCAGCCGAAGAGGCGGGCTTTGCATTTTGCCGAGCCTCCCTTTCCCTCTGCTCAGCTTCCAACTCCAGTCTTTCAGCTTCCTCTTCGGCTTCCTCAGCCTTAAGAATTTCAGCTTCAGCTGGAGTTGCATACTTCATGTGAGGGTCTTCGGGATTCTGGACCCACTCAGCACATTTAGACCAGTCCAGCTTCGGCTCAGCATGAAGGCAGAGTCTTCGGCATACTCGGAATCCGTTTCTGAAACCCATCTCATATTCCTCTTGGGTATAAACACGGACCTTGAGTGAAGCCTCAGCATCAGCCAGCTTCTTCTGGGTCTCCTCCAAGTCTTCCTTGGATTTCTTCAGCTGTTCAGCGACTTTGGAGGAGGAACCCTTCAGCTCATTCAGCTCTTGCTGAATTTGGAAAGCCTTTGTCTGAGCTTGGGCCACTTCAACTTTCTGGATCAGCAGTCGATCCTCAGCCTCTTGGAATTTAGCTCTTTGGGCTTCAGCAGCAGCAGCAGCCTCTGAGAGTTGGACGTCTTTGGCCAGGAGCAACTCTTCAGCAGCCATTCGGCTGGCTTCAAGAGCCTCTAGACGCTGCTGCACTTCAGCTTGTGCAGCAGTTCCTTCTTGAATTCGGCTCTCAATAGCAGCCTTGAATTTGGAGACGTCCACTCCCATATGCTCCTGGAGAAATTTTTCCCCTTCCATCAGTGGGGGAAAAACCTCCATCTCCATAGCATCGCAGAAGGTTTTCAGAGCTTCGACAGCTTTTTTACCGTACTCCTCAACCTCCTGCTGCTTCTCTTCAGCTGCTGCTTGCTTCAGCTTAGCAAGCTTAACTTCCTCTTCAGCCACCTTCCTTTCGTGCACAGCAGCGTCTACCCTATCTTGTAGGGTATCAATCAGCTCTACAGTGAGAGTCTGATTGTGCACGAACTGAAAACAGGAAGACAAAAAAAAAAATAAGTAATAAAAAAAAATAGAGCTGAATTTCGGAGGAAATGAAGGAAAATTACCTGCATCATCAGCAGTTGGTTAGACCTGGCTGGGTCAGGAACTGATCTACTGGATTCGCCCATCCCAGCAGTGGCCTTCAGCGACCAGATCCTTGCCCTGTCTACTTCGGACATGCCAGCAAAACTGCCGAAGTAGGCTTCAGCTCCTTCTCGGTTTTGACCCCATATGAGGTCCCAGATGTGATCTGGGATTGGAATTCGGGGGGCCGAGAAACCCATTTCTCCAGAATGCAGAGTCTGGAAAGAAGGGAAGGACGACGATGGAGCTTGATTAGCTTTGGTTGTCTCAGCATCGTCCTTCTCAGAGGAGTCAAGTACTATGACCTCCTCTTCTTCAGGGGTGAGGACGAAAGCCTCAACCTCTCTTGCGATATCTGCCGTGAAGCCTTCAGCACTTGACATCACGGCATCTTTATTTCCGTGCTCAGCAGCACTCTCCTTGATTTCTTCTTGGACCCCTCCCTTAGGTTCGGGAGTCCTCTGATCCACCTCCATCTCAGGAGGTGGCGGAGGGGTCTTTTGAGGAGATTGGGGTGTTGGCTGGGGAACCCTCGGCGATCCATTGCCTTCCTCAGGTTCCCTTATTGCGACGCCGATGGTCATCGGCCTCTGCTGAAAGTCATGAGGGCCGATGATGGCCATCCTTCGGCGCCTTTTCAGAAGGGGCTGCTCGTCCATATCTGAGTCTGAAGACTCTTGTATTTGATCTTCGGGACGAACAGGAGCTTTGCCTTCTCTGTGTCTGTTACTCTCTTCAGACTGTAACAGACAGGGGGGAAGAAGAGTGTGAGTAAAAAAAAAAAAAAAAAAAAAAAAAAAAGAAGAAAAGAAAAAAGTTGTCTGAAAGCTCACCGAGGTTTTCAGCAAAGCCTCGTCTTCTTCAGCTGCTCTAGCTGCAGCTTCGGCTTCAGCAGCTCTGGAGGACCCTTCTCCTCCTTCACAAGCCTCAAGTACCCGTGCAACCTCTTCGGCTGTGCGGGCAGCTTCAGCTTCCTCGTTCAGCAGCTGAAACCAAGGGTCTCTCTTCTTCCACCAAGGCTTCTGCCTCTGATACAGAGCAACAGCCTCAATTTGGAAGTGGGAAGAGTCCAGATGAACTTCCCTATGCCTCGGCTCAGTGATAGACGGGGCCCGTTCAGTTACAACTCGCTCTCGGTTAACACCAAGACGAGCGTAGTTAATACCAACGTTGGTCTCGTCCCGCTCTGAAAAAAGGAAAGGGAAAAAGTTTAGCTCAGATATGGCACAGCATAAAAAAGCAAAGCGAGAGAAGAAAAAGGTAGTTAAAAAGCCTCGGCCCCAGCCGAAGAAGCTTACCATCCTTAAACTTTCGGCTGAGGCCAACAGCTGCTAGCATGTTCTCTTGGAAAACGTAATGCGTATCGGGGAGCCAAGTCTCCGGGATATGCTGCATTCGACCACTCCCCCCCGGGTTCGGCAGCTTGCCGAAGATATGTTGCTGATCCAGGTTCGGATCCGCCCCGTTATCTGCGGGGGGACCTAGACTTCCCATTTCGGGATCAGGCTCAGCTAAGTACCGGGGAGCGCTGAAGACGCAAGGGTGGCCCGGATCTGTGGGTGCCCTAACCCAAATCCATTGACCTCTCCAGTCCTTGTCTGAAGAGTCATTTGGCCACATGGTCAAGTATTGGGGCCGGGACTCAATCCGATACCACCCAGAACCATGGCTTCCGTGCCCACTCTGAATATTTGGCACTAGCCGATGGAGCTTTCTGAAGCAGTGCAGGTTCGGCACGTATCTGAAGAACTTGCAGACCCATAAGTATGTCATCACCCTTCGGATGCTGGTGGGGGTTAGCTGACATAGGGAAATGTTGTAATGGATCAGCAAGTCTCGGACGAAAACGTCCAAAGGGAACCTCAGCCCATACTGAAGCTGTCTCGTGTACACCCCCACATACCCCGGGGGTGGACGATGGATTCTATCGGATGCTGAGGGCATTCGGCACCAATATCCATCAGCTTCAAAAATGCCGTAGTGCAACTCAATTTGCTCAGCAAATCGATATTGATCGGCGTTCTCTACCCACCATGAGTAGGGGCGGTTCTTTATCATGGCCGAAGCGACTTCGGCATTCTCCCACTCTGAAAACCCAGGGAGGATATCCCAAAGGACAGCGGGAATTTCATCGTCCCGTCCAGAAGCACTCGGCTCATCCGTTCTTTGAGGAGGAGCCGAGGAAAGGGGAGTCGCCCTAATCCCATCAGCAGGGTCAGACTCCGGCCTTCGACCATTCCAGGTCCCAATCCTATTCCTAGGATCGGGAATCGGCCTTGCTCTTCTTGGAGCACGGGCTCTACCTCTAACTCCTCTTGCCATGGACTATTTCGAAGAGAAAAGTCGAAAGAAGAGGGGAAGGAGTTCGAATTCGAAGAAAAATAAACTGAAATCAAAGGAATTTACCTTAATCTGAAGCGAAATTTGCCGATTTACGAGTTCGTAGTGGCAAGTCTCAGCTTCTAAGCTCAATGCTCGGGGGAATTTGCGAAGTTTTGATACGGATTCTTGGATTCTCTCTCGAAGAATTCTGGGTTTGTGTTGGTGAATAAGTGAGGAGAATGACGCGCCTCTGTTTATATCTCCAGGTACGGGATACGAAGAGTCTGTGCTTTAATTTCTCTTAAGTACCCACTAAGTAACCGTTAAACACATGTCTTGTGACTAAACTGCCCATTATCCGTCCAACTTCCGCAAATCATTAACCGTTGTTATCTCATTAATTACGGTTTAAATTCAAATTTTTGGATCAATTAAATCATTTACTTCCCTCCTTTTCTGAGTTAAATCAAACCCGACCCGTCATTCTTCCGAATCGGGTCTGGGGGGCAAGTTGTTTGGGTCCAATTTAGTCAAAATTGGGCCTGAGCACTAAATGATCCAATTAAAAGCCCAAGGTCAAGGTTCAACTCTCCAATTGCTCAAAAGTCAAAAGTCAGCCCACAAAGTAAGCCAATTGGGCTAAAGCCCAACCTCTCCAAGTATGATGAGGTATAAAAGCCCTCATATTAACACATTCAAGGGGAGAGTCATATACATGATCAGACACAACATCTCATAACATCACATACAAGATCAACGAGATCATATACAACAACAGACACAACATCACATGCATTATCTCATACACGGATTATTCCAACTCATATGCTCATTCTTGCATTGAGAAATACTCCACAAAAGCCTCAAGCTACAAACTCTCTTGCATAGTGTCTTCCTTTTTACACATTGTACTGACTTTAGCATCGGAGGGGCCTTCCTCGGAAACACCCCCGAGGCTAGTTTACGTGTGTTCACTGTGCAGGAAACCTTCGGCCCAACACAGCTTGGATCGAATCCAGTCTTCTCCATTTTAGTGGACCTTCGGCAAGGTCCCATTGTTTTCAACCGAAACAACATTAATAATGAAGTAAAGATAATAAGTTGATCTAAATGTGGACGATAAAAGTGGAGTTAATGAGAGTAAGGTTGCTATAAGAGACAACGTTAGAAATTGTGTTTTTTTCGAGTTTTCCATGTGATTGTAACTTGTTTCTATTGTGTAGTAGTAGAAGTAGGAAGTTGGGATACCAAGTATGGCAAGCTAAGGTTACTTATTTATAGAGAATTAGAGGAGAAGGCATCTAATTAATTAAAAAATTTCTATAATTAATTAAGTTTTTAGTTGCTAAAAGTAGAGATGGTGGTTGATGGATTAAGACAACAGGAGTAAGAAGTCAAGAATATTATTATAGTGTTGGTTAAGCATTTGGAAAGTTAGTTACAATTAAGTACCCCAAAGTAGAGATGGCTCTTTAAACTATATTGTATTAATTGGAGTTTCATACATTTTAAATGCATTAATTTAACCATTATATTCAATATATAGTTAATACTATATCCGTTAATTGTTATCTGCAAATTTGGAATTTTTTTATATATCACAAATAATACTCCAAAGGTACAGATAACAATTAACGAAGATAGTATGTATAATTATGAGTAATTGATTTTATAACTGTATATATCGAGATTCTGAGACGAGTGTAATATTCAAATTTATTGTCAATCGTGTCATTAGTTCTTCCCTATTTTATAAAAAATATAAGATTACTCTTATGAATAGTGCGTGTGATATCAATGATACCCTTCAAAATGTGCATTTACATATAAATCCTCATCAAAATGTACAAGTTTTTTTTTTATGAATAGTGTTTCACAATTATACCCTAAAAAATATTTAAATACTTATTTTCTCTCATTAATGTTAGTTGATTTGGACATTATATATGTAAACATAGTAGTTCGCATATCAACTACTATATTGTGATTATATCCAGTCAAACTAAAAGAACTTCCGAATATGACTAGTTATGGTTGCTGCCCTAGTTACCTTAAAATTATGAACTTATTATTTAATTAGTGCAACTTATAGCGGTATAGTATATTGTGTTTTTACACTATTGATCATATACTAATGATTTATTGTGATTTATGTAAGAAAAAATGTAGTTAAGTGAGGTATTGTATTAAATTTTCTCAAAGCATATATTAATGGTTATTAAAAGACATATTTGCCCATCATTTACATGGAAAATAGACCAAACTGCCCTCAATATTAACAAAACAAGTTGATATCTGATATCAACTGTATTTTTTTTTATTAAAATAGTATGTTGCGGGATGTGCAAAACTCCAATTATTGCAATAAAGAACAACAAAGAAAATATTTTTATATCCATTAATTTTGAAACTAGGGTAAGCATTTTTTATAGAACTTTTTTTCAAGGGGACTTGAATATTTATTTATTTTTTTAGTGTTCCCTTCGATTCACCTTTTGGACTAATCTGAATTCGGGGATCAGTATTTGAATATATAAATTTAGTGGGCCAAAAAATAAAATACTGCATTTAATGTTTTTTATTTTTAATGTATTTAATTTCAAATGTCTACATTATAATATTATATGATTTTAGCTAAAATGTTGGACCACAGGTTGTCAAAGTCATGTCGAAATACAAATCTATTGTCCTACTTTTAACTATTCCCACAACTAAATTAGTCAGCAAAATCAAACAAAATACCAAACAAAAATACAAATCATATGAAGCCAGGTTTTATTCTTGTTATATAAATTAAACAAATTACAAATTGCAAACTTATACTGTATAATATTGTCAAGTTGTAATACATACATATGTACATACGTTAAACATAATTTAGCTATTGTCTTTTAGCTTTTTCTACGACAATTACTGGATCTACAATCGTTCTCTGAGAAACTACTAAGAGTATTAGATTTTGGTGATAATGTTAACTAAATTAACCAGTTAAAATCTACAAATTATTAAACCCCCCCCCCCACCCCCCACAAAAAAAAAAAAAAAAAAAAAAAGGTTTTCCAGTATTTTAAGATCTTTAGGGTGAAAAGAGCAATAAAAAAAATACTCGTAATATATAAAAACAATCTAACAAAAAGTGGTAAAGGCCAATTAATAGAAAGGATGACCCCAAAAGCAACATATATACATGCAATTTGATTGGGCAAACCCATGAGAAATTGGTGAGGTTGGTGAGAATATTCCTATATATATATATATATATATATATATATATACATATATATATATATATATATAGTTTCCGTTGTGTACAAATTCTTAAATGAACCCGTTCACACTAATTTATTACCATTAACATTAGAGACAATATGATTGTTTTATTAATAAAAAATAAAGGTCACTATATTAAAATAAAGATTATTATGTTGAAATAAAAGTTAGTATGACATTATAAAAGCTATACACTAGGTGAAAAAAGGCATTTGGCAGCGGTTCAAACCCGGTCTAAGGCACCGGTTTGAATCGCTGCCTATGTGAGGGGTGCCAAAACGGGGGCCAAAAAGGCACCGGTTCAAACCGGTGCCAAAAATCAAAATTGGCACCGGTTAACCGGTGCCAAAAAGGCCCACAAAAAAATATTTCAAAGCCGGTGCCAAAAACCCCCCAATAATCAATTTTTTTTTTAAAATTAAATAAACTAGAATTAAATGAGGATACCAAATATGAATCGAACATCACAATCAATATAATTCAATCTATTCAATATATATATATGATCAAAAAAATTACAGTATAGATCAATAAAAAAATTACAGTATATAAATAAAAAAAAATTACAACATATAAATAAATAAATAAAATTACAATATAAATCACAAAAAAAAAATTACAACTTCATAATATACTTGTATCTTGATTCTTCAATTTAAGATCTAAATCCATATACATGCACCAATTAAAACAACCAAAATGAATCGATTAACATGATTTAGCTGCGAAAAAAATAAAAAATAAAAACCCCAGAAAATCGGAAAAAAAAAAGAAAAGAAAATCAGTTTAACACTTAGAAAAAAAACCCAGAACATCAAAATCAAAAAATAAAAATATATAAAAAAAATTCAGAAAAAAAAAACAGATTAAAATAAAAATTAAAATCGAAATTAGAAGAAAAAAAACCCAGAGAATAAAAAAATTTCGAGAGAAAAAACCCAGAAATTAAAAAAAAAAAATCGAATTAAAATAAGTTTAAAAATCGATTAACCAAACCAGAAAATTGAAAATCACTTAAAAAAACAAATTAAAATCGATAAAAATAACAAATAAATCGATTAAAATAAAACAAAATTCGAAAATCAATTAAAAACCCAGAAAATAAAAAATAAATCGAATTAAAATCAAGAAATAATACCCTAACCTTGCTCATGCATGTGTTCGTGGTGGATTAAACCAAAAAAAATTCGAAGAAACCCATAAAAAATTTCGAAGACACTCATAAAATCAATTAAACCCAAATTAACTTCGAACAAACCCAAATCAACTTGTATTAACCCAAAATAATCAATTTTGAACAAATCCATAAAAAACACACCCAAAAACGCATGCATTAACCCAAAATCGATTATTGTAGCAAAAAATTAACCCAGAAATCAAAAACAAAATCAAAAACGAAAAAAAAAACAATCGAAATCGAAAAAAAAACCCAGAAATAGAAAAAAAAAATCAAGAACGAAATCAAAAAATTAACCCAGAATAACCCACAAATCGAAAACACCCAGAAATCAAAATTGTTGAAATCGAAAGAAAAATTGAAATTGAAAGAAAAATCAAAAGCCCAGAAAAAAATTGAAATCTTAAACAAAAAAAAAAAAACTCAGAAATCGATAAAAAAAAAATGCAATCAAATTTGATGGAAAGAAGGGTTTGAAAGAGAACGAGAAAGGGATTGAAAGAAGGGATTGAAAGAGAACGAGAAAGAGATTGAAAGAGGAGATGAGAAGAGATGAAAGAGAAAGGGATGAGAGAGAAAGGATGAGCGGCGAAGTGTTTTTGTGAGTGAATTAGCTTTAGGGTTTGAGACTTACCTTATATATAAATGGAATAAAAAAAAAGCCGATTTTTTTTTTAAAAAGGAATGGCACCGGTTCAAACCGGTGCCTTTTCTCTTTTGGTAAAAACCCGCCCAATTCTAGACCGGTTTTGGGCACCGGTTTAGGCTGAACCGGTGCCATATGGGGGGTGCCTAATACTTTTTTTCTACTAGTGATACGAGGTTAATTTTTTTAATGAAAATTTTAGTATAATGATCAATATGAATAATAAAGATCAATATGTTAAAATTAGGTCACTATTCAACATAGTGTCGTAGTTTAAGTTCATAATAACATTAAAGGTCACACAAATTTTAAAAAAGGTTACTATGTTAAAAATAAGGTTACTATGTTAAAATTAAGGGTCACTTTGTTGGATATAATGCCAGTTATGTGTGTATAAACCATAGGTCCACGCAAGATTTTCCGTGAGTTGTGTTCGACAATAAATTTTAGGATTTTTTTTGTCAAAAACTATCTAATAAAGCATAGATTTTGTGAGAAATTAAATTACTACCAACTATCAAGGTAAATTGCTGTAATATACTACCTAACAGAATATAAAATGTTGTAAAATACTACCTCTGTCAGAAATTCACCATTGACCCACCTCCAAAACTACTACCTCTAACCCCAAAAACCAACATCTCGAATGTCGAAACATCCTCACCAACTCAGAATATCCTCTAACCACCCCGAAAATATCCTTACCACCTTGAAAATCAATCCCCACGGTGGTTTTGGGCATTGGCGGATCTATGAAGGGGCCTGGGTGGCACCGACCCCCCAATTTTTTAAGTAAATGTATAAATTTATAGGTTAAATACAATTTTAATGCAATAAATAGCATCAAATTAGTGTTGTCATAATAGTAATGCATTGAGTTTGGACTAAAAGTCTTAGGTTCAAGCTCTTATACAAGCATTTTATTTATTTATTTTTATTTAGTGCCCCTCCACACTAAATATTCTACATCCGCCACTGGTTTTGGGGGTGTTTTGAGGTGGGTTAATGCCATAAAATTAGGTTATTAATGGTGGAAATTCAGCCCAAGGTAGTATATCTTACAACATTTTACCTTTTATTAGGTTGTTTTTTACAATATTTTTTTTATTAGTTAGTTTTTCACAAAATTTAGGTTGTATAGACAAAATATAGATCCTAAATTTTAAGTGTTTTTTTCCGGGAAATTCTAGGTGTCTTTTAATGACTATACTTAATTTGAGTAATAATTAGTGATGTAAGTAATTTTTGTCAGAAGTAATTAAAATTAATTACTTATGAAAGATAATAATAGCCTTAGTTG